GCGGCGGTGGGGCGCCAGAAGCTGGATGTGGCAGTCAGAATTTGTAGGCGCCGACCACCAGGTGGGCCTCAGCATCGATCGAAGAGGCGGTGGCCGTTGGCCGAGGCTGCGGTGGCGGGCAGCAGCCGCGGGCGACCAAGGAGGAGGAAGTTAGAGGGCTGGTGGAAACGACGTCGTTCTGCAGTGGCAGAATAAAAGAAAAAAAAATGAAGCACACGCGTCGCCGTCAAGCTTCTTTAAAAATAAAGGGAAAAGAAAAGATTTGGACATGCTGATTGGTGAGAGTGAAGCCAACGACGACGTTTCGGCATTAGATGGGCCAAAAGAAAAGGCATGAAGAAAAATGGTGGTCTTTTTTTCCTCTTTTAATTTATCTCTTTCTTATCTCAAGCAATCTGCCTCGGTCACACACACCGACCCTTTTTCCGCGTACTCGAGTGGAGAAAACATCTCATCTCTCTCCGACGGCGTCACCGCCGTTGTTCTCAAAAGCTCTTACACCACCGCCTCGTCGAACGCCGAACAGAAGTGGCGCTCGAGAAGGTCTCGCCACTTCTGGCGTCGACAGCCATCGATGCTGCCTCTTCTACCACCTACGATGACCCCAACCTCGCCTCCGTCCCGGCATCCGACGCGGACGATGTCAAGGTTTCTGATGCATTAAACAATTTCTTTTATGAATATTTTCGTGTTATTACTTGATTAGTTATTCACCACTATTATTCTTCCAAAAAGGAATTCCCATGTTTATAGAATTTAAGTAAAATAATTATAAATCCATAAAATTAAGAAAAAAAAAAACTGAAAATAAATTATTGAAAGGCATCAAGTGTAACCAAAGAGAGAAATGGAAAAGTAAAAAAGGAAAATGAAAAAGATGACGTGGCGCCTTTGGAGTGGGAGAGAAATAAAGAAAGAAAGAATAAATAAGAAAATAATTATGGGAGGGGGAATCTAGGGGTGGTTGTTGTAAAGGAGAAGTAGGTGGTAGGAGACAAGAAAGGGAATTCTGGGCCACATATTACCATTATAGCAGAGAAGATGAGAAATAAAAGGAAAAGTTGGGCCCACGTGGTAAGAGAAAAAGAAAAAAAAAGAATAAAAAGAAAGCACATCTGGCCCACCAAAATGGCCGATTGCAATTGGACACCTTAAATTTAAATGGAAAAGAAATTAATGGTTGCATCTGATTGGTAGAAGAAAACAAAACGGTGCCGTTTCACATGGGGAATGACAGAAAAAAAAAAAAAAAAAAAAAAAAAAAAAATCTGGGAGAGTAAATTTAAGGGCTTCGACGCTTATATATATGAACATTGAAAGGCATCTTTTCCATTTTTTCATGCCTTTTCTTTTTTATTTCCTTTTGGCCCATCTAAAGCCGAAACGTCGTCGTTCGCCTCACTCTCACCAATCAGCGTCTCCAAACCTTTTCCTTTTCCTTTATTGTTGAAGCAGCTTGACGGTGACGCGCTTGTTTCATTTTTCCTTTTCTTTAATTCTGCTCACTACAGAACGACGTCGTTTTCGCCAGCTCTCTAACTTGCTCCTCCTTGGTCGCCCGCTGGTGCCGCCCGCCACCGCAGCCTCGGCCAGCGGCCACCGCCTCTTCGATCGATGTTGAGCCCCACCTGGTGGTCGGTGTCTACAAATTATGACTGCCACATCCAGCTTCTCACACCCCACCGCCTCCCTTGTATTGTCCCTTCACTCGGTTCAAGTTCCGATAAACATTATTCCAATTCAAGTTCCAAGCGCTGGAGGGTAAGATTTCGTCGGCGTGTGTTTGCTTATTGTATTGCATTTAATTATCACATGCAATAAATCGTTTGTTTTCATCGTAAAATGTGATGTCGTTGTTGGTGATTCTTTTATGCCCTCTGTTTTGGTTTCATGCACGTGACGTTTCGATAACCCGATCCCATAATAGTGCATCTTATTTTTCTGTTTTGAGGATAAATTAAACGGTTGAATGATTAGTCGTCGAATTTATCGTTTTTGCTTTTATGGTTATGGAATTTAAAATCACTTGAAATTCGATGAATGTAATTTACATGCATGTGCACCTGTTTCTGATTGTCTAAGTCTTGGTCCTTTTGCAGCAAGCCGCCCTCGTGCTTAATGCTTCGCGACGTTTCCGCTACACGTTAGACCTGAAAAAAGACGAAGAACAAGAAAAGAGAAAACGGCTGATCAGAGCACATGCTCAAGTCATAAGGGTAATATTAAAACACATTAGTCTTGATTACGTACTTTTATTCATTCGATTCTTTATATTCTGGTGTCGGTGATTGTAGGCTGCATTGCTCTTTAAGTTGGCTGGACAACGAGCAATAGGTATTTTTCGAGTGTTGCTTCTTTTTAAGCTGGTTTTCCTAATTCCATCTCTGCTACAAACCTGATTTGATTTTCGTCAATTCAGTATTAGGCACGACAGTAGCTCCACCATCTCCTAACGGTGATTATGAAATCGGACTCGAGCAACTTGTTTAGATGAACAGGGATCATAATATTACAGCACTGCAATAATATGGAGGGGTAACACTTCCTTTTTCCCTTCACCATCTCTCTAGGAAGTCTGCTAACATATGCTATATGCATAAATATTAATCTCGACGGTCATTTTATTCAGGTTAAAGGGTTGGCAGAAATAATAAAAACAGACGTCGAAACAGGGATATATGGTGACGAAAATGAGTTATCAAGAAGAAAGAATGCTTTCGGCTCAAACACGTATCCCGTGAAAAAAAGGAAGGAGTTTCTTGGTAAGACTTGTCTAGAGTGTTATATTTGTTTGATCGTATGTTCTTACTTATACATTTCCACCATTTACTTATTTGACGTTTGTTTTTGCGCAGAGGTTCCTATGGGAGCTTGGCAGGATCTAACTCTCATTATTTTAATAATAGCCGCTGTGGCCTCTTTGGCTCTCGGAATAAAAACCGAGGTTGGCTTGAAATACAACAATACCATATTATTAAAAGAATTTATATAATTTTGTGCATATATAATTTAAGAATTGCTCGTGTTTTCCAGGTCCTGGAGGAAGGATGGTACGACGGAGGAAGCATCACCTTTGCTGTTCTTCTGCTTATTTTTGTTACAGGTTAGAAAATTCAGATTGGTTGTTTATAACCTTAGGAGAGAAGTAATATAATTTTCACTTTTTATCATTGCATCTGTTGTTCAGCAACTAGTGATTACCGGCAGTCCCTCCAGTTTCAAAATTTAAACGAACAAAAACGGAACATCAAATTGGAGGTAATATTCCAGTCACGAACTTATTCAAGCTTTTACCTTCTTGTTATTGTTCTCTTTAGAGTACTCTCATGGACAAACATATGTACAGGTGATCAGAGGTGGCAGAAGAGACAAGGTTTCGATATACGAGATTGTGGTTGGAGATGTCATACCTCTCAAGATTGGTGATCAGGTGATAACAGATTCGATTTTACTCGGTATACTTTCTTGGACCACACATCATTGTCTAAAAGAGTCTCCTAATGTATTTTACACAGGTTCCTGCCGATGGAATCTTGATAAGCGGACATTCTCTCGCCATTGACGCATCCAGCATGACTGAAGAAAGCAAGATTGTGAGCTGCTTAGACTTTATTTTGAAGGTTTTATAATATTAGATTATTATATTTTTATTTCTCACACATAATGCCATTATTGCAGGTCCACAAAGACCACAAATCTCCATTTTTTATGTCTGGTTGCAAAGTAGCATATGGTGCCGGAACAATGATGGTAAGATATAAAACTTTCCCACCTCCAGTAAACGAACTTTTCGACCACGCTTAATTTCTGTTCCAATTCCAGATGTTGAATTATTATAACAAGTTCAAATTTCTGTTTCAGGTAACTGGTGTCGGAATCAACACCGAATGGGGATTGTTGATGGCCAGTATTTCAGAAGATACCGGTGAAGAAACTCCTTTGCAGGTACTTATTGGATATAACGGTTCATCTTTTCATTGTTAACTTGCTACACGAAAATAAATAAAACCAAGTATGGATCCTGTTGATACATTACAGGTGCGCCTGAGTGGTGTTGCAACGTTTATAGGCATCGTTGGGCTCACCGTGGTGATTATTCTCTTAATCAGGTAATTTGGGCAGTGTTTCGTGTTATCTTATTCTACGACCACTTTCTGAATATCAGTAACATTGACAAATTAATTACCTCAGATTTTTCACGGGGAGGTAAAAAAATCCCGATTGATCTGTTCAGTTCGTCCATGGAGAGACCAGTGTTAGCGAAATAGTTGATGGGGTTATAGATATCATAACTTCTGCTGTAAGTTTCTACATTTTGATATGTAATTGCGAATACGTTAGATAACCTTTTTTTTCTTTCTGTACGTTCATTGACTGAAGTCCTTCGTTTATGTCATGATAGTGGTGGTTGGAGTCCCGGAAGGGCTCCCATTGGTTGTAACCTTGACGTGAGTATCATAACATGTCTTTCGTGTACATCTATTGTTGCCGTTTTGTCCTTATTTTGATTTCGATTTATCTTGAATTTATAACAGCCTAGCATACTCCATGGAAAAGGATGATGGCTGACAAGGCCTTGGTATGTCGATTTTGCTTCATCTTTCCCAGAATATTTAGTTTATTCAATTGTATTACAGCTTTATTATTAACTCAAAACATATCTTTCAGGTGCGTAGACTTTCCGCCTCTGAAACTATGGGATCTGCAACAACCATTTGCAGTGACAAGAGACACTAAATCAGGTTATTTTACTTTCGATGCACATGCTTAATGGAAGGAGTATCAGGCCTTCCTTAAAAGCCGCCTCAAGTTGGCCTGTACCGCCGTCGTTTGTCCCGGGTACAAGCTTTTATTCTTATCCAATTTTAATTTTTAAGAAAATAGGGAAAATAGTGGAATTCCATCTTTGATGATGCTGGGCTGATAATTTGTACCATACGCTTTATGTTGTGTGCCTTATGGTTCTTTCCACATATTTTATTTCCATCTTCTATATAATTTATGATATTTACTACAATATGAGTTCTCTATAAGGAGTTTCTTTTGGGAAAAGATTGATTCTTGAGAAAAAGCATAAAGAAAGAAGAGAAGAAGAAGATGGTGATGGGGAAAAATGTCTGTATGTGTGTGGGTGGGTGGGTGTGAGAGAGAGAGAAGGAGAAGAAAGAGTCAAAAGAGGGCCCACAAAATTTTTGAGATGAAATGACCAAAAAACCCTTCCATTAAGCATGTGCATCGCGCGTGCGCCGGAAAATGAGAAGATTCGCCGGAATATTCCACTTAGGTGGTTATGTGCGTCAAAAAGTGAGTTTGGGTGTGCCCTTCCAACTTTTGTAAGTTAAGGTGGAAAAGTGCAAAAACGGACAAAGTCCAGGTGGCAAAATGCTATTAACCCTTTTTTTTTCCTAACTTTGGTGTAACTAACTTTGACAAACTACGTACGACAGATGACTGTAGTTGAGGCTTATGCTGGGAAACAGAAGATGGATCCTCCTGAAGACGGTGCTCAATTAGTTGCATGCAACAATTTCCTCTCTTCTAGACGAGGGACTTTCACAGAACACTTCCGGCAGTGTTTTTCTATCTAATGTATTCTTTTCATCAGTACGTGAGTGCTCGTGAACATGGATTTTTCAAGTCTTTTCGTAAATAAATGTCTGTGCTTCGGAAGGAAGTGTGATCATTAACCGAGTTTTTATCTCTTGTTGTGTTTAGGAGGGTGCAATGGAGGTTTCGGGATCTCCAACTGAAAAAGCTGTCCTTCAATGGGGTGTTAAGGTACTTTTAAGCCGTACGATAGTGTATCTATATTTCCAACTTTTAACATAACTCAGGTATTGACCATCTGTAAGAACCAATATTTTCGTGCAGTTAGGAATGAACGTTGTGAAATCCGAATCCATAGTTCTCCATGTCTCTCCTTTCAATTCCACCAAGAAACGAGGGGGTGTTGCAGTAAGAGGAAAGGTAACGATTCATTTATTCGATGCTTTTATGATCATGTTTATAGTGGTTCTTCTTCTTTGTAGGTGAAGTAAAAATAGGTGTTTCAGTTTTGCACAAAAATAAACACAAATTGTTTCTTACTCATATTTCTTTTTTTACAAATACGTTCTTCTGTCTGAAGCCTTTAGATTGTGCGGGCAGATTTTTTGTTGTCTGAACTCTCGCCCTCTTGGTTACGTCTCTTTGATCATTTGTTACTACCATTCGCTTGAATTAATTTTTTTTAAATTTACAACCCAAATTTACACATATATCTATGTTTGGCTTGCTTTTTCTTGCAGGTGTATGAATTGATTTTTCTTGCAGGCATTTGGGAATTACGTTTCTTTGGGTAATAATACTAACCAGTTCCTATATTTACCATTTAATTCAAGTATTTTGCCATTTGTTTACCTGTAATTTTTTCTCAATATTGATGTGGCTGATATTGGTTTCTTATCTCTGTCGGTTATTTGTTTCACTCAGGATTGATGAAAGATTGATTCACTGTAGACAGTTACTATAGGTATCTCAACTATTAGCAATAAGGTGTTTTAATTTTTTTTGCTGCATGTTCTCTTCTTCATTATTCCTTCAATCGGGGATCGGATTATTTTGGTATCATATACCTGTGGATATATGGCAAAGGCTGCAGCCAGTATTGAAAGTCTTTTCCTTGTATCTTAATTTTTTTACCGTACTTCGGGAATTGAAATCTTGCGATCTTCGATTTATAGGTACTCATTGTAGGTCAGTGGTCCTGGAATTGCTTTCTTGTGTTTCGGCTAGGTCTTGGTCTCTCTATTCATTTACAGGTTTGCCCTTTTTTTGTGTTCCAGCTTCGGCTTGCTCTTGGTCTCTCTGTTCATATACAGGTTTCCCGCTTCTTCAAGAATTACATTCATTTTTTGCTGGTGACATTTACTTTTTACACCTGATTTTATTCGGCCGAGTGAATTCTGAGACGGAGATGAGTTCGGCCACGTTTGTTGATGGCGCCACTCCGAAGAGTACCTTTGCGCGTCCGACGACTTCTTTTGCTTTACGGCTCTTATATGTATATTTTTTTCTTACGACTTACTTTGGTTCGTTTAGGTTATCGTATATGTTTTGATTATTTGAACTTAATATCTTATTGTTGTTTTGATGTTTGTAGAAATTGTACGACTCCCGCTGAAAAAATGAGGCGGCATTATACGACAGCCAGGATTTACAGAGGTGAAATGCGTTCTTGTTTCTGTTACTCAATGTACTTCATTTTTATTGAGTCTATTTTTCTCGGTTCCGAAATTACGGATGTTTATTGTGCTCTAAATTTTGCTTACGATTCTTTTCATAAGTAAGAAGAATGCACGAGTATCAACGATCTTTTAGAACATTATTTAATTTAGGGGAAAGTACAGTTTGCACCCCTGAACTATGGATCATGTCACAAACACCCCATAAACTACAAAATGTAACAAATCAACCCTTCCGTTTCAAATCCGTTTGTATATGCTGATGGGCCTGTTGACTTTTACTTTTTTAATAACTTTTGTTGTTGTTGAATTTCTTTTGACTATTTTACCCCTTGGTATCATGTGCTTGTATGTATATGTGTATATATATCTATACCTATATATACCTGTTTGATTTCCGTTTTAACTTTAAAAACTAAATAAAACCAGTAACAATGAAAAATCGATTGAATTGTAATTTTCGCCCAAATTCAAAAAAGAAAAAAAAAATCAAAAACAAAAACTTCTGAAAATTATTGGGCTAATTTCGGTAGCAGTACAATTGAACAGATGCATCTCAAAGTCGAAGTAGGAAAATTTAGAAAGAGATTTTGCAGAAAGAAAGAGAAGATTCACAATTAATCTTAGGCAATGGTGAATGAGGAGAGAGAGAGAGGACTGGTGTAGGAACTTCATTGGGTGAAGACAGTGATTCCATGCTCGACGAGTGTGGCGTGGCAGTTGAAGATGGGGATGCGGAGTTACGATGTGATTGAACAGTCGGCGGCGCGTGTGACGGAGTTTTGGCTGCTATGGTAGGGGCCGACGATGGTGTGTAATCGGACATATGGACGGAGAACGAGACATCAACAGCCTCAAATCCTTGCTTGCACAATTAATTGAGGGATAATTTCTGTTCTTTTGGCCAATTAATTGAGGTTTGTCCCAAATCCTTGAATTTTGCGAACCCATGAACTGTATGTGGTTTTGCTCTTCTGATTTTTACAGAGTAGATTATAAAGAATTGTTTTTTAGGAGAGAGGGAGAAGAATTTCTGAAGTTAAGATTGGGTGATGGGGTGGAAGATGGTTTTCCTCAGAGGGGTTTTGAGGGGCACAAAGGTAAATGACTTAATTTGCTGAACAAAAAATCGTAAATGACTCAAAACTTAACGGTGTCATTGTTTTTACTGAAATGATTTGTGCAGGCCAAAATTACACATTCAGGCACATTTTTTACCATTCTTCAAAAAACAAAAAGTAAAAAAACTCAAAACTCTCTCAACCTATCGATTTTCTTTCGCAAAGCCCGTGCAAATCGTCAACAGATCGGAGGTAATTTTTACGTTTTTACGATCCTCTTGTTATGTAGATTACGAATCCGGAAAAAAAAAACGAAAAAATCACCCGTTGGCCTGCTCGTGTGAATTTACACGAGCACATCCACTGTGCTCGTGTAAATCCACACGAGCAGGCATTTTTATTATTTGTTTTTTTTTTTAATTGCTCGTGTAAAAACACACGAGCGGTTGCAAAGGGCTCGTGTGATTTCCCCCGAACGCTTTTCAACCGCTCGTGTGTTTTTACCCGAGCAGATTATTATTTTTTTTTTTTTTTTTTTTTTTTTTTTGAATTATAAGATGCTCGTGCTCGTGTGAAATCAGATGAGCACTGCTCGTGTGAAATCAGATGAGCACGAGCACAACAATTTAATTTTTTTTTTTTTTTTTTTTATTGGGTAGGAATAGTACAAAAGGTAAATAGTTATGGTAAAAAGGTAAAAAATCATGGTAAAAAAGTGCCTGAATGTTTAATTTGGCCTGCGTATATCATTACCCTTGTTTTTAACGTTGACCCAAAATATCAGGGGCTATTTCGTTACGTTTTGTAGTTCAAGGGTCAGGGGTGCAAACTGTACTTTCCCCTTTATTTTTCCATTTTATGTAATACTTGTTGTTCTTTCATTAAATTTTTGCAATCCATTATTTACGGTCGCTCCGTTTGCGAAGAAGGATTGGTATGACGATAAAGCTTCATCTGTTATTTATAATTATGTACTTACTTTTATCCTTATAGTTTTTTTTTTCATTAGTGGAATGGTCATGTCTTGTTCAGCTTAAGTAAGTGCTTTTGTTTGTTCTCTTTGTGGAATGAAACTTCGGCATAAGTTATTTGAGTTAATGAGGTAATAACGGCACCACGCCATGCTTGGTACTGCATGGCACGCGCTGTATAAAAATCTGAAAGCAATCTTCGATATTTAATCTGAAGTTTCATTTTCCGTGCCAGGATTTTTCCCTTCAGTTTATGATTTGTTGATTTTAGGCATCGCATTTGTTTTTCTTGTGATATTCGGAAGATTTTATTTCAATGGTACTGCTCTGTTTTTCCTACCTGGTTTGTCATTCGTGTGTGGCCCCCCCGATTCACATTTTCTTTTCCCATTTTTTTTTTCCTTTCTGCTGCTTTCGAATCCCATTATATGTAGCGGACTATACTTCCAGCCTTAACCTCGCTCCATACATTATTGTTGTGGTTGTGGGTGATATATGGGAAAGATGAAATTGGCTGTTGTTTCTCTTCGGTTTACACAAACGTTTATCATTTTCTTTTCTTGCACTAATTTTCAACTAAATTTTCTTATTACTTAGTGGAAATACATTGACTGCAGATCTGCTCATGTTGTTGTGTTCTATGATGACATGGAAATCTTGTCCAATAATCAAACTGGGATTGCTGTAAAAGAGAATTGACTTGTTCAATTTGAGGCGACGAATAATACGGAAGTGAAAAACATGCAGGATTTGGAGGATTTGCAGAATGCCTTGGCAATTCTTTATCGGGAAAGGCAACAACTGGTACTGTTTTTTTTTTCAGTTTAAATGGATTAAATTTATAATGTAATAAGTATAGTGTCGTAATTTATATTTGTTGCGGCAGTGTTCTCAAATCTGCACTATGGAAGATGAGTATGCGTTATATGAAGATCACATTAAACGAATAAGGGGCCATACGCCATTTTTTCACAGTTTCTTTTATCTTTTGTCGATTTTCCTTTTTTCTTTTTAAATAAATAAATTGAAATTTGTATATTTCGATAGGTGGTGAAGTTGGTTTAGCTCGTAAATGTATTGAACCAATCCTAACTGGGAAGAGTCGTTTGCTGCTGAAGAATGAAAATCACGACAACCGTAAATCCACAAAGCAAACAAAATCACCTGACATTTTTCTCCCCGGTAGATCTTCATGTCATGTAAGTTATTATGTTCCTATACAAATTTGTTTATTTTTTTTTTTTTTTTGAAATAAATAAACAATTAAATTAAAACAATGTGTATTATATTCTCAGGACTTGGGGTATAATAATTGGAGGCTGACGAAATATTTTGTCGCACCATCAAATGGTAACACGATAAATTTCGTTCCTTATTCTCAAAAAAAAATAAGCTGATGAATTCGTGTGATATATATTATATCGATTTTTAGTCCGCATATTTTTATCTTTTTTTTACGAGTAGATAAAATTTGTATCGAATGTGGCGATGGGAAGTGACGATTTGTAGTTGTCTACGGAGGGTGGTGTGGGGTCCACTCCCTTAGAAACAAGGTAATTTGCTGGTGCACAAATGATTGTCAAAAGACAAACTCGTTTCTGTGTTAACGAAAGCTGATTAATCAGGGGTTAATTTTCTTCCTTCCGTTATAGGCTACCAGCATGACGGCGCGTGCGATGCGAAATAGGTATATAATATAGGGACCAAAAATCGTAAAAATTGATCGATTTGTTGATATTTAAGATTTATTTTAACATTTGAATCGACATAGATATGAATGAATTGAATCGTAAGATTTGAATAGTAAATCATAAGATTTTATGGCGAATTTTCCTAAATGTGGCGGATATTTTGGATATTAAAAGAGAGATCCACTTTGGGGTAAAATTTGCAATTTGGGTGGAGCGGGTAGGAAGATGGAGTAAGTATAGGGGTAATTTTGTAATTTTCAGAACTGTTTGAGCCAGGGAGGTGGATTTTAAGATAATACAAATTAACCTCCACTTGGGGGCATTTCCGGTTTAAGAACCAAGATTAAAAATGGTATATAATATAGGGATAAAAACTGTAATTATCACAAGTTTATCATAAATAATATAATAAATTAAAGTTTTCCTAAATCGTAAATTGTAAAATTTGATCGATTTGTTGATATTTAAGACAACAAATCCACCTCCCCGACTGAAATAGTTTTGAAAATTGCAGAATCACCCCTATACTTCTTTTCAAAATGAATTCAACACACATATTTATGGTTGATTTTATTTAATTTTTGGTCAATGATATATTAGAGAAATGTGTGTGGTGTGGTGTTGCCCTAGTTTGTATATAATTCTAGGTCAAGGAACAATGAACCTAATTTAGTAAAGGGTGTTGCTATTTGCAGCAGGACTTTTATTGAATGCAGCATAGTTTTTTTCATTTAATTTTTTTTTTTAGAAATTATCTCTCCTACTCTCAAACTCTCTCAAGACATTCGAATTTCGGAAAATAATTCGACTTTGAAGAATCTATTGTATGCCCCAGCCGATATTATTGAATTACAATTCACGTTTATTTATTATATTTAATGTAGCCTCCTTTTTTCGTTTCTAATTCTTTTTGGGACTGGTTTAATTCTATGTTTTCACAGAACGATTTTTTTACGGTTGATCTCCACACAAATACAAGTGAATGTTTGTGTGCTTATGGATAATAAATATCCACCAATGTAGCATAGAATAATTCGAGACCTCTTAGTTCAATAATTTTGTCCAAATTCAGTTATCAAGAATTAATTACTTTTCTTGTTGCTTTTTCCCAATGTATTAAAATCTGTATTAGGTTAACAAGTTGTATTAGGTTAAAGGCGCAATATATATTCGAGTCAATATTGTATGCATTCAACCATATTTTAAGCTTATAAAATCACAATTATTGCAATTTGCATACATACATGATATAAGTCATTTTTACCTGAAAAGTACAAATAAATTAAGCACATAGCAAATAGTTGCGGTCGGGTTTCTTCAGCACCTCCCGTCACGCAATGCAAATCAACATCAATAAAAAATAATCATAAAATAAGCAAAAATGCAATAGTATCTAAAACATATAACTGCAACATATGGTCTTGAATGAAAATGTAGTCGAGAAACTTTAAAAACTAACATCAACAAAAATAATCAAGTCAAATTTGCAAAAGTTGATACGGGAAACGGCACAAACATTAAACTTAATCGAAAAGACTGAAACCAAGGTCATCATCAGATTCATCGGCAGGTTCTTCTTTCTTCTCCTCTTCCTTGGCGGCAGCAGCAACAGGTGCAGCACCCGACCCAGCAGCAACAGGAGCGGCGACTGCAACAGCAAACTTGCTAGGGTCCTGGTTTGTATAAAACACCACATTCAAATATCAGACAACAAATTCTATTTACACGACAAATGTAACAGAATAATGATACTTACAGCAAGATACTCCTTGACTTTATCGGCAAGAGGGAAGGAATAATCAGTTGCAACGGCGACAGCCAAGACATTCTTGTAGGCATTGATGAACATATGCGGTGCAGCAGCTAGGGTTGGGTAAGAGATGGCTAGAGCCAACGAGGTGACCATGGAAACACCCATAGCAAACTTGACAATTAGGTCATCTTCGGTCAAGTCAAGCACCTCAGGGCTGAAAACGGAACCGTTGTCGTAAACCTTGGTGACAACTAGACCATAAGAGAATGGCCTGATTCCGAGTTTCGAAAGAAGGGCAGCTTCAGAGGAACCCACTTTGTCACCCTTTTTGATGAGCTCCACGGGGGTTACGATTTCGACAGTACCCTTGTTAATCTTGGTGGGAATGTTAAGAACCTAAACACAAACGGATACATACAACATTCATTCAGTATTATCACACGAATTAAAAAGAAAGAGGAAACAAAATCGGAAATGATGTGTTAGTAAGTACCTGGAAGAAAGATGTCTGTGACGGATCGAGACCCGTGTTCCCAGGTGGGACAATGACATCAATCGGGGCTACCAAACCAACACGAGCAGGTGCTCCAACCTGTTTTCAGAAAGCTTATATGTTTATATATCATCTTCCATATTGGATCAGAAATTACAGAACACCATTAAAAACATCAAGTTCTTCCCTAGACTACAACATTCGGTTCGAGTTTGAATAAGACAAAAAATACAGGGTTAGCCTAAACCTGATGTGATGAATAATAATACATAACAATAGCAGGAACGAGAACGAACGAACTTCAGACATATTTCCAAACTTAAGATGTACACCACAAAATCGATCGATCCATTGCCTGAGTCAATTTCACAACAATATATAGAATAGACAGGCAAGGCAATAAAAATGAGGGTAAGAAGAACAAATGAATTCACCTTGAACTTGGCAACCTCTTCAGTAACTTCCTTCAAGTCACCCTTAGTGAAGATTAGTCCAACATTCCCCTGTAGTCGTCCAATCATTCATAGCAAACCAAAACAACAGTAAGAAAGATTCTACCTACTAATTGATACAACCAGGGAATTACTTAACCTCTAATTGATACAACCATTAATAAACCACCACCAAAATCAATCAATCAACAGGGGGGACTTGTTACTTACAACAAGGAGATCAATTAGGGCGAGAATAGCTTTGTTTCCAGTGTTCTCAGAGTGGATTCTGATCGACCTCTTCATCATAGTATTTTTACCCATCAGAACAACTGAATCTCCCCTTAGCGCGCTCCGAATGTTCTGCAGCTGAGTGGACCCCACGTTGTCCGCCACCGCCACCAACACCTGCGTGTACTCATCCAGCAAATTGCACAGTTTCTTGTCGTAAGCGATTTTCTTGTCCGCCTTTGATACCTTCGGTGCCATTTCTCTATTTCTTTCTCTCAGCTAATAGAAACAACAAAATACAGACGAAACCCTAGGTGTATGAGAGGAAGAGATGCAAAAACGAGGGCCAAGACGTAGCAGTGGCTATGTCGAGGTGGACAGCGGCGGCGCCGTCTCTTAGCCTCTTCGATTCAAGCTTTTAGGGCCGGTTGAAAATGGTGGAAGCCAAATGCGGGAATTCACAGTCGAAAACTTTGCCTGCGGTGGGTTGAGGGTTTTTACAAAGACCGTGCCCTAAAACCAATGGTTGGATTGGCATTTTCGATAATGATCTAACGGCTGTGCCTGTGGTTCTGAATTCTGATGTGTATTTATGGGCCTCTTATTTTTTATTAAAAATCAGTTTTTATTATGCGTAATGGGCTACTTAAAATATGAATACAATTCCGTTCAAACCCGACCCAAATTAGATTTTCTACTTTATTGCGTTAAATAAATAAATAAATAATATCCATTAATTTCTGTTTTTTTTTTAAAGGGTAGGATTTTCGTGTGAATGTATATATATATATATATTAGGCTGCGGCTATATGCAATATTAATTTCACTTGTGCAAGACCAAATTAAAAAAAGATTCCAGAAGATTCTATTTTATTAAGAGGAAATGACAAATATACCCATAAGTTAAATTGCTTTTTTTTTCTCATGTAAGACCAAATACAAATAATGAGGGAAAAAAAACTAAAAAAAAAAAAAACACCGCCGTTAAAGTTCCGCCGCCCAAGCTCCACCATCGATCGCCGCCGCCGCAGCCCCGCCGCTCACAATCATGAGTGACCCAAACCTGCCCAGCAACGTCGCCGCCGCCGCAGGTATTTATGAACTTTGTTTGAAAATTTCGAAAAGGGTTATTTAAATTCGATAAATCCATAGTTTCATTATGTTAAAATGACATTAAGAAGCTTTCGTTGATGAATTGTTGTCTGGAGAGCAGATTTTTGATTTGTTCTTCATTTTCATTCGACCAGCAAATGTCGTTTTTCAAAGGAAAAATTCGGCATTTGCAGGTCGATTTTGTATGCTATGATTCGACATGTGTCGATTTTATTGAAGGTTTCTCGACATTTTAAAGAAGTCGATTTCTTATCATCCAATTCGACACCAAGATGTCGATTTTTTGATGAGGGTTCGACATCTACAAGATGTCGAGAAACACTCATAAAAATCAACACCAAGGTGTCGATTTTTATGGTCAGAAATCGGCATATAGATGTCGAAATTTAACTGTTTTTTATTTTTTTTAATAAATGTAATTGTTTTTGGTTTTTTGTAGAGGATGCTCGTGTACGATAAACCGCTTTCCATCGAAAGAGGAAATGCACAGTTCGTCCTCCTCAGCTCCTCCCCTCCCGCGCCATCGTACCCGAAAACGACGTAGTGATTCACAGGATTCACATGTCGTTGTACCGGAGCCACATGCCACTTCGACTACTGAAGTGGGTGGGTCCAGTAGCCAAACGGCATCGCCAAGCTCGATAGGTCCAGAAATTCGTGAGTTAATACCAGATTTTGAGGAGCATGTCGCTTACAAAATTTTGAGCGGAGTGCTACGTTTTGAACTAACTAAACCTCTAAAAGTCGCAATCCTATCCTCGGTATCGGATGTCTTCCAACCCTCTGCCTTGGGCTCGTGGTACCGTGTCCAATGATCTACGATAGGAGGCATAGGGCAATTGTTCTTCAAGACGACATGTACAAAATGGTTATTGTTCACGAATGCTAGGCCATGCTCTTGCCGCATCTCAACAGGAACGGGATCGCTCGAAAGTGGAAGAAATGTAAGGCATTGATATTTTGAGAAATACTGGACCACAATGTTGTAAGCATGGGCAATTATATGGCCCATATAAGGTAATGTCATCCAATATTGTCGATCGGCAGGTGAAACCCAACAGTCCAATATAGCTACCAACTCCTCTATGGTGGCCCATACTTTGTAACTCTTTATGTAAATGTCATGATTCCTTTTCAGTTCAGTTAGCATGTCACGTCTTACTTGTGCCCAATTTTCTTCGCCCAATCCTACCATAGATGCAACTACCCGAAATCCACAATGACTATCTGATGCGATGTTCTTGATGTATTGTACATATTCTTGAAACATTGGATGAATTTGGACAATAAACTGCGTCTTCGCATTAGCCTTTTTCTATAAAAAAATGAATATTGAAAAAAAATTAATTGGATAATAGAAAGTTAAAAAAAATATGAAACAGTTCAATTTCGACACTAAGGTGTTGACTTTATGCACACAAAATCGACACCTTAGTATCAAAATTTAACTGTTTGTAATTAGTCCCAATATACTAAATTTCGACATTAAGGTGTCGAATTTAGGGACATATTTTCGACACCTTAATGTCGAAATTTAGCTTTTTTCATATTTTTTCATGAAATCAAAAATGTTGTCCGTGCCTTTCTCGTGACGGAGGGTTTAGCTGACTTTTTTGTTGTCTTTTTTTGTTGTCTTTTTTTGTTGTAGACTTCGCAGTGCCTCGTGTTGGAGTTAAAACCTACATTTTGATCGTGATGGCAACCATGTTAACATAATATCAATAAAATTGTAAGTACAATTAGTCTTACAAAAATTTAGGTGTGGAGAAGAACCATAATTCAAGTCGTCCGAATTTGAACCTTCACGTGGCTCCATACTTTCCAATGTTTGTCGATGCATTGAAGTCAAATGAGAATTCACTTCATATTAATCTCGTGGATGTCATGTGCACACAGTACTCCGCGAGTTGTTTGGAGACTGCAACTGCAAGGCACCTCAACTTGAGCGAACAACTCACGTGATTTGTCCACCTCAATTTTGATCAACTCAAGGGCGTGCATCGACACAAAACCTAAAAGTTCACTGTAAAGCCCTATCTTGAAGCCGTGTTGGTATGTATTTCTGCTAATCTCAAAGGAAGCCTTGATTTTAATTTGTTGCAACATCAAGACGTTGTCAATATAGTGAACAAAATAACGATGTTTCCCCAATGAATTCATCATATTTTTCTTAATCTTTGAATGTATGTGCACCCTCCATCATATCATATATTACAAGACGTATAAATATATTATAAGTTATTATATAATAGAGATGTGTATGTCAAGTCATATAATATAAAGATTACTTGTTAGAAGTGTATGTTCCGAGGTGCATACATTTGTCTGTCCATGTGGATTCAATCCTCTGTTTGTACGGGTTCAACCACGAGTCAGCTACGTAAGATAGAGCCTTCGGAAAATCAACGAAGTTTCGTTTCATTAAATTCCATTCCACATAAAACAACTCCTCCGATCTTGCTCAACAAGATTTGCCCAACTTGTCTCAAACCGCTTCCATTTTTCTTTCTCCTTTTTGAACATTTTTTTTTACATTTAGCAAGAATATTCTTGCTAACATGCCACCTACATAGCAAATGATGACTAGTTGGATACACAAGAGCTATAACTTTCATCAAAGCCAAATATCAGTCAGTGACGATACAATTAGGACTACGACTCCCTCCCATCTTCTCCACCAAGGTCCTACCAAGAGCTCGCGCAATTTGGTGGAGCGCGTTGAAATTCTCGCGCGATTTGGTAAAGTGCGTCAAAATCTACACGCGATTTGGGGGAGAATACAGAGAGTTGCGCGCGACCTGAGGTATGCGCGCGCTCCGAGGTAGGAAAGGCGGCACGCATTGTAGGACGCGCGGTGGGGCTGCTGATGTGCATTGAATTCGCGCGCACATGGGTGGTGCGCACGCATGTAGTACACGGAGAGAGAGTGTGTGGTGCTGTTAAGAAATTCATGGGGAGGCGTGCGCGCATTTAATGCATGGAGAGAGAGAGACTGAGGAGCTGATAGGAAATTCATGGGGAGGCGCGATAATTAATGCATGGAGAGAGAGTGATGGGTGACGCAGAGTGCTGCTCTCTTCACTTCCTTTTTTTTTTCCTTTTTTTTTTGGCTGACGCGCGCGCGACCCAGCATTCGCGCGATTGGCGCGTGTTCCCACGCGCACGTGATTTGCACGCGTTTTTCACTTTTTTTCTTTTTTTTTTTAATTGTTGCGCGCGTTTGGCACGAGTGTGACTGCCACTCGCGCGTATCATTCACGCGCTCACCCAAATTTGTTTTTTGGGCGAATCGAGACGTGCTCGAATGGAGGTTTGTGTATTGGTGGTGAACACTTTGTACTCGGTGTGATGATTTTGTTCCGAATGTTGGTATATCTGATACCACTAACGGGGTTGGTACTAGTAGTCGACGTTATATATACTAAGTAGTAGATTTTGAGAGATGTAGTGACAAGTCAAGTTCGTCATGTGACTTCGAAAACCCTGCCCGATTTTTTTTTTGTTGGTTGATGCCCACCCCTTGGGATGGGATGTGAACCCCCTTGGGGTTGAAAGGTAAGGGTGATGTCCAACCACGATGAGATGCCCAACCTTAGGGTGGGATAGCCCCCCAACTTAGGATGAGGCGATCACGAACCCGTGGGATAAGATGTCCAAACATTGGGATGAGATGCCCAACCTTGGGGTGGGATAGGCCCCCAACTTAGGATGAGGCGGCCACGAATTATTGGGATGAGATTAACCTTAGGGTGGGATAGCCCCCCAACTTAGGATGAGACGATCACGAACCATTGGGATGAGATGCCCAACCTTGAGATGAGATGTCCAATCATTGGGATGAGATGCCCATCCTTGTGGTGGGATAGCCCCCCAAATTAGGATGAGGCGATCATGAACCCTGTTATGGTTTTGCAGGACTCCAAGTGTCATTGACATCATTGGAAGGAGTAGCTCATAAGGGAGAGGCGTTGCATCTCGAATGTGAACGTGGGCGATGTTGTTCAGTTCGCGCTTCTCGGTGAGGAGTGGGTTGTTACTGAAATAATTTAAGGTCCCGAATTCGTTTAATACAGAGGTGTTATCTTAAGTGTTATGACACTTGAACAAACATGCAGCGGAAATATAAAGATAAAATAACAATACTCAGAATTAAAAATGTTCACAAGTAAAGACTTGTGAACTTGCCCTTTACAGGACGGAAAAATATATTAAAATCAGTATTCCAAGAATACAAACAGAAGAGGTGCGAAAACTTCTTCCTTATGAATGAATCTTTTTCAAGATCATTCTTACAATCAAATCTAGATACTAAAAGAAAAATATTAAAAATTCTAGATTTCAAAGATGTACTCGTGAGGAGTACGTAAAGAACTTATGAATGAATCACTATCTTGATCATTCTTACAACCAAGTCTAGAAACATATATACTAAACAATCTAGACTACAAAGAATGTACTTATGAGAAGTACGTAAAGAATGTACTCATAAGGAGTACGTAAAGATTGTACTCATGAGGAGTACAAACGACCGATTCTAAAACCACTCTATAACACTCGTGAATATTCTTCCGCCCTCGGTTTTTATTTCGTAGAATCGATTAAACAACATTGAGTATTGAAATCGGTATTTATAGACATTTCAAGCTTCCACTCCTCAGCCCATGATCTGCAAGAAAATCAACCACAAGAGCACTCAAGAAAATGGGTTAGTGGGTTAGTTAGGAAGTTAGAATAAAATCCACAATTAAATCCACTAAGCACTACTTAGCCCACTAAGCACTATACTTAACCCACTAAGCACTATACTTAACTCACTAAGCACTACTTATTCCATAACTAAAATTTAGTTTAAAAAATAAGAAAGTTAAAAACACAATGTGGAAATAATCCACGTGTTTCAAACTCCCCCTTTTTAACTTTCTGTTCAAAACTAAATTTTAGCTTAACTCCCCCTGAGTCATTGCTTGAACTCCCCCTGAATATGATAACCAATCTAGCAAATAACAAAATAGTGCAATCCTAGCATAAAAGTTCAGAGGGAAAATAACAAACTGAACAAAAACAAATATTGTTCATAAAAATAACTTTAGAGCAGAATATCCAAAGTGTCCTCAGTATCAGCTGTTGCTGCTTTCCTCTGCTCCTTCAGTTTCACCCTCATTATTTTCTTCTTCTTCATTAACTCCATGTTCTCTGCCTCTGGCATCCAAATGATGAGAAGTCCCTGCTTCAACTTCATGACTAGCTTTTTCTCCCCCTTTTTGATCAGAAAGAGTTTTTTCGAAGCATTTCCACCATGGACTGATGATAGGTAATCTGAGTGAGGGAGTGAGTAAGCTGTTGTAACAAGAGATCTCTAGGAACAGAAACAAAAATGTCAGGGATGTTGTCAACATGAGGAGCAACACCTTCAGTACCAAAATTATTTTGACCTGATTCAGTTGAGAGAAAAATTATCTCCATTCCAGGGAAGATCTTGGACATGAGGAGCTTAGAGAAAATTTTGAAAAAAAATTATCATGCCAAGTGTGAGAAAACAGAATGGAGTAGATGAGAGAAGGATTTAAAACGATTGCCAAAAAAAAATCTTACAAACCTCAGTAAAATCACCATAATTATCCTCATCAATCACAGTAGGAGTTTGTAAATGAGAGTTGATACTTTTGGGAGAAAAGGGAGAAAATGAAATTTCGCACAAAAACTTTGCCAAAGTTTGGAGAATTTTAAAAAAAGAGGTTTGTAAATTGGCATAAGGACAGACAATCTCAACTAGACTAAGGATTTTTCTTTGATCAAGAAAATTAGTAATCCTATGTCTATCAAACTCATCCTTGGAAATTTTCTTCTCCTCAATGAATTGGCAATTCATGATTTGAGGACTCAAAATTGAATCAAATTCAAAATAAAAGGTTGTACTGAAAGCATTGTTTACCTCAAAAGGAGTTGACAGATCCTTCCCATCCAAGTTTAGCTCTTCTTCCTCAGAGGATTCCTCTTCTTCAGAGTCTTCAAGTTCATCCGGGATGTATGCTGGCTCAGGTGATGCAATACGTGGGACAACATCTTCCTACATCTGAGAGGAGTCCTCAGACGAGTCACTGTCTGACTCTGAGGATGGCAAATGTTTTCGAAAAGTGGCAAAGGGAACTTCCCAGCTGTCATCACTTTTCTCTGGTTCATCAGCCTGAGAAGGTG